GCTGTCGGGTATAAAGTGGGTCACGAAGGGGTTAGCCCACTACAGGAAAAACTGGTAAAGATCAAGGGCCGCAGGGCCATCAATTTAGAGCATTCCCACGGCAGTTTCTCGAACGAGCAGCATACTACAGTCGGTTTGCCAGGGAAATCAACACGGTTGCTGCTTCACCATGCGACCTACCGCGTCAAAATCAAATTAGGGGGTAATTGAATGAGGTTTCTGAAAGTGTCAGAATGCCCGGGGTCGAAAAGATATTTATTGTTGCATAAACCTAGCGGCCAGGGAGAAATTTGAAAATCAAATTTGCCAGCAGTGTTTTGACTAACGGAGTACTAAACCACAGGGAAGGAATGTTGGGCAATTTTTCTGGCCCTGGATCAGCGGATGCCATGCTTGATGGGACAAATATTCCTTGTCAAGACCGATCAAAAGCCTCTCGATCGGCTCACAACCACCGGAGATCCTCATGCACCCAGGTTATAAGAGCACAACTTCGAGCTCCGGCACGTACCAGGATGGGAGGGCCACCTGGCCGACTGACTGCAGATACCGAAGACTGATCGGATTCTGGAAGGTTAGTGCAAATACAGCGGCGGGATCACGTAACTTGGAGGGTTGCAGCCACTTTTTGGAAGACAGGAATGTTGAGAATGAAAAGAAAGAAATCTAGAGATGTTTCAGAATCAGTTCAATAGGGTGGGCCTGAGCAAAGCTGACTTAATACCCTGGAACTCCACCGTTGTACTAACCGTATCACCTCGCGTCTTCGGAAGCTGATACCAGGATGGGAGGGCCACCTGGCCGACTGACTGCAGATACCGAAGACTGATCGGATTCTGGAAGGTTAGTGCAAATACAGCGGCGGGATCACGTAACTTGGAGGGTTGCAGCCACTTTTTGGAAGACAGGAATGTTGAGAATGAAAAGAAAGAAATCTAGAGATGTTTCAGAATCAGTTCAATAGGGTGGGCCTGAGCAAAGCTGACTTAATACCCTGGAACTCCACCGTTGTACTAACCGTATCACCTCGCGTCTTGAGACGGAAGCTGATCGTTGAATGTCATAAGATTGCACACAGAGGATGCACCACGTTATACGACCGACTTCCGCAAAAGGCCTACAGGCCAGGGATGAGAAGTAAGATGATGGATAATGTAAAGACCTATAAGCTGTACCCACTGATGAAAAGAAATACGATAAGAGCAACTTATCCCATGAAATATACCCCTGTATCAGAGGTTGGCGAGTCATGAGCTGTTGACGCCATGGGCCCCACTCTGGAAACAATGAGTGAAAATAATTATATCTTATTGATGACAGAACACCTGTGTAGGAACGGCAGTAGTACCTAGTCATCGGGTGACACCTCTCAAGCATTAATGTAGGAACGGCAGTAGTACCTAGTCATCGGGTGACACCTCTCAATGGAGCATTAATGCACCACGTCGCAGACAACCACGGGGTACCAAGAATGACCCTAACGGCTCACAATGCGAGCGAAGAGTTTTGAAACTGCTTGAGCACTGGGTATCAAGTGGCTAAGGACAGCACCCTACCACCCGCAAAAAGACGGCCGAACCGAACACGATAATCAAACGATCAGAGAGTGACTGACGGTCAGGGGAGGTGACTGAAAAGTTAACTTGCCGATGGTGTTGACAGCACATCAAGTGTCGTTTTATCAAACCACAGGGAAGTTGATATACGGTCGACAACCACGCCTGCGGATTGATCAGGAGATTGCTTTGTCGCCCATAACATACTCGTCATTGGAGGAGCTGGAATAGATATGGAAGAAGAACTCAAAGAAACTTGGCCACTGTTTAGGGAAGGATAAGACAGAAAACGCTAGGTAGGAAGGCATCACCATTACCCAGAGGCGAGAAGGTCGAGTGGAAGGATCGTTAGATTTCGGGGAGGCGTGGATTGGGGTCGCTGAAGTTGATGAGTCGGTGGAAGGGTCCGTTTATCGTTACTAACCGTCAAGAGCAAAGTTAAACAATTCACGACCGTCGAGGATCAAAAAGTAAACTTTGCCTAGCTTCCCAAATGGCATCACAAACGCGAAAACATGTCGACGGGACCCGCTGTTGGGCCGGCCCAACGAAGTCAAATAGTACGTCGGTGACACACACGCAGGCGAAGTATATCACGGAAATTATCTATATGCTTTGCAGTGTTCATTTACTGTAATGTAATAGCCGTTGAATGTCCATACAAGTTCAAGAGGAGGCCTGAGAATTTTTAGTTTCTAATGAACATATGCATATGAGAAGTTTGAATTCTTCTCTGATAACATGTGACCGATTAGTTCGTGCTTCTTCATGTGTAGCTTCTCAGAAGAAAAGGGTCCCTTCTTTCGTTGACAACAGCGTACAAATTGGTAGTTTCGTTGACCTTTAAAATCCTTTCATTAAAACGAACAGATAGGATAGTCTGGCTAGAAGAACTCTCTAGGAAATTCCCTACTTCGAATGACCTGTAGTTTTGGCGACTTAAACTTCGGTTTTCGGCGTCGCTGCACCCATGTCCGATAAAACCATTGTGCGAAGTGTAATGGCCGTTCGACTCTAGATCACAAACAGATTTTGAAGCAATAATCAGTCGACAGCGGCTTATCCAGTTCCATAGCTCTCTGGCTTTGCCTGTCCTTGTTCTGCCGCCAACGTAACTTGGAAAAATTACTTTTTCTACATGCTGCACGTTACTGCCTAAATCTTGTGCCTGATTAGTGCTGCGGATTTCAACATTACTCGAGTGAGTGAGTTTGTAAGCATTCTCAGCATGTTTACTGAGAGCTGCTGGGCTAAAAGTGACCCCACTGAGAACGATATTCTGAGCCTGTTTTGGGCGGATTCCGGGATGAGCCTTTGGGTCACTAGGTGAAAAGCTTCACACTAGTTGAGAAGAAGCTACCTCTTGGGTAACATCAAGCACCAAAGGAATGATAATGTAGGTTCTATGACCATGACTCTTCGACAGACTGCGGGCATCTGAGTGACTGTTTCAAACTCTCATCAACCTATTTTGCCCTGTTTGAATCATAGGCAATGCTGCTAGTCGGTTGTGCTCTCTTCACTTTGGGTTTCTGCAATAGAAAGAGTACACTCACGAAAGAAAAATTCGTTGAAGTAACTGACCAAAGTTTTAGTTCTGTTTGAGAAACCCAAGCGAAACTTCACGGAAGTGTCAACTTCACTGACTGCATCCACCGCCGCTATATTTTCAGTTTGTTCTGCCCACAAATTAAGCGGCCACGTGCAATTCTTGTTCGGCTTCATGTGTTTCCATTGCCTCACCCCCGAAGGAAAATTTCACCTGGGCGAAACTTCACGGAAGTGTCAACTTCACTGACTGCATCCACCGCCGCTATATTTTCAGTTTGTTCTGCCCACAAATTAAGCGGCCACGTGCAATTCTTGTTCGGCTTCATGTGTTTCCATTGCCTCACCCCCGAAGGAAAATTTTCACCTGGCTCCCCTCCATCGATGATTCCAGTGAGTCTCCAAGTTTTAACCTAAACTCCAATCCTGTGATGCAGGCTGCCATTGCGAATTTTCGAACTTCATAATTTCAACTCAAGCGTTTGTAGCTAAACAGCTTAACGCAACGCAGTCTTAGCATTGGTTTTCGGCCTTAATACACAACGGGCTGCCCGAGTACTAAGATATTCGTACTTATCCAGTCTCATTGTTCCAGGTTGTTGTTTTATACAATTCGCATTCTCTCATCACGTGACAGCCAGGCCACTCGGACTTGCCATTCTCACCTTGCGCTGTTAACCGCCATCTTCAAATTGTTACGGTCTGATCTTGCTTTTATGTTCCGCAAAAACTTGGAAAAACCTATCAACTGGGTTTAACCGTCCGATGGGTAAACCAGGAATTTCTCATCGCGCATGCGAATACTCTCTGAGTTCACGGACACATGTTAAACGACCCAACCGCCAGCACTCCAGCTGTGGCTAAACAGTGATTCTGGACGGCTCTGGGTAGGTGCGTAGGCTCTTTCTACAGCATTCTACAAGCAGTTAGGACTAGGTGCATCACTCGTGTTAACCAACTGAACATTCACCGCGCTAGTAACAGCCTTCATTGATATGGCTGTCTGACAGAACAGGTTATCTTCTTTTATTATCTTGCATAACTGCTGCCTCATGCACAACCTGCTGTTGCTGCTCTCAAAGTGAAATTCAGACCAAAGTACAGTCGCTAATATGCATGGTTTGTGAGAATGATTACCGCAGCTAAGAACACATGAAGCCCATGATGTTCAAAGTGAAATCAGAATTCTTCACTCACCCTTTCGAAGGAGATTTGGCCACTGACCATTAGATTTGGCAGCTAGATTGCTCATTCCGACAAACCTTTTGTGCAGCTTCACTAAATGTGGTTTGCATCTACTCAAGTGTTACCTTCTACATCTCAAAGATAAGCTCCTGGTCCATTCCTACACATGGTAGTCCACTCCTTTACTTACCTGTACAGCAGGATGTGATGGGGCCTACCAAGCGGCGGTTATGCAAGATGATCAGGGAAGATAACTCGTCTTAGCTGATAGCCAGCTGTTACTAGCACAGCGATCGATTACTTGGCTGGCATAAGTCACATGGTCAATCATAACACCGCTCCAACATTCTAGGGAGCTAAAATGTACTTGGTGTCTGCGTTTTTCGGCACGTCACTTACGGCGTGTGAGGATGACTGAGAGAAAATCGTACCCGATTTCTGACCAATTCGGTGAGTCGCCATCACTGCTCATATTTTTCGAGTGTGTTGGCTAATCTGTTGCAATCCCTGTGTCTAGAAAAACACTTGGATTTGTTTGGCATAATACTAAGGTTTCATGATTTTGTCTTATTTTTCGGAAAGATGCTAATTCCATTGTAGTAGGCGTGCTCGAAATTGACCTCATGGCGCGTCAGATTTTTTGTTAGCTTACTCTCCCAATACTACGCCTGTAGAAGCCAAGCTCGATAAATCAATGAATGAATGTTGTTGAAAAAAGTCGCTCGAGGAAATCACTGAATGTTCGATAAATATAGCAAGTTTATTGGATCAAGGCTGTAATGAAATACATCAGTTAGATGAAAAAATCTTTATATGCTGCTTGTTTTCATTAAAAAAACACTGTTTTATACCATAAAATATTCATTTTTATTCACATCATCTGCAGATTCCGCTTTGAAAATTTGGACCGGGTTCATCTTCATTTAGGCTGTCTGTTTGGGCATCACAGTCTGGCGTGGACACCATCACATTTGATAGGTTTCGTACAAAATCTTTTTGCAGGTTCCGTTGGTGTTCGCTTTTGTCCACCAGTTGGCTTTGACACTTCAACATGGCATCGTGAATGGATGGATAGAATGGAACTTCGACCGTCAGTTTCTCGTTCCGCAACAATAGACTGATAAGAGTATCTAGAATGAAAATCGAGTTGAACGCGATAAAACACAAAAGTAAGGGGGAGTAAACAAGTCACTTACCTTAAAAAAAGCAAAAAACGGGCAAATTTGGATAAGGCGTTGAAATGAAGTTTTACACCATCTCTCCACCATGTCCATGAAGAATGGCCGGCATGCGCTCATCGCACAAGTCATTGTGTTAAATGTGAAAAATTCCCATTTTTAATGGTAAATATTTATTAATCCTTTCATTTTGCAGCTGGTTTTGACTCAGTGTAGTTAGTCACGTGATATACTAGAGGAAGTCGCCTTTTATTCCTAGGGAAAATTCTTGGAGGGTGTCAAAGTAGATCACTTAGTGACCGAGAGGTTGTAGGCCAAGCCTAACCCCGGCATTTTGACTGATCACGTCTAGGCTTAAGCACACTAGTGGTTTCTCAGTCTTCGTGCTTTCTTTGAGTGACATGGCAGAGAGGTACGAAAATGGTGCTAAAGCTGAACGGTTTAAACGTCTTAGATGTGCTGGAGGTACGCACAAATTGACAAGAGGCGATCCATTATCCATATTTACTTACCGTCGTATTTGGTCCATTATCCAAAAGCTTTATTTCAAGATTCAAACACGGGGATGATGATATTGTTGCCTTCCAGTGCTTATGGACTTTCACGTCTGAGTTAAGACGATTGCGAGTGGGTGGGGAATGATTTCTGGTGCGTGTCATGTCACACCAGTGTAATCAGCTGTTTGCTTTTAACGGACAGATTTCAGAAGTCCGAGGCATGAGTCTACAAGTGTGACATCGCATTTCCTTGCATATTGGCACCGCCTACTGATAAAATATGAGACCGACAACCTCACAATGTTGATTCAACTTCAGAAGCAATTGTTAACAATTAAGAACAGATGTTCTCTTTATAGACGCAGTAAAGTACGATAGTGAACCAGTTCCAGGGGTAATTTTGTAACTTGTGGTTCCAAGTGTGCTTTTCTATCGCAAGTTTTTCCGGCACGATTTTATTCTCCTTACTTCAAGGATAGTCATAACAAAACTCCAAGTGTTATTTGTCTCTGAGATGTTGCTGCTTTTGACTTTATAGTATTTCCATCTTGCCTCTATCCAGGGATCATCATACAAATTGGCATCCATCTTTACACGCTGTTACATATGTCTCCTTTAAAATGCTGCACGAATTTTTGCTTTTTCCCTACCTTGAGTATTCCTACTGCACAGTCTTCCTAAGAAATCACACAAAATATGATGTCATCGACCTTCTAAGCTGATCGAAAACGACATCAGAAACTTGTCTCAAATGTGTGAGGGTCTTGGCTGCGATGCTGACAAGTGGGCTCTTGTTTTTAGGCAACTTTGTTACCGTCCAGTGAACATTCGTATTTGAACATGGGATGGGCGCTGTTCTGCAGTGTGACGCTATTGAGATATGGAATGAATTAGGAGATGGTTTTGAGGTGTGATCAGCGTTTCGCCACCTCTGTGTAGTATTCAGGAGGAAAGTCACAACGGAGTGCAGAACGCGCGTACTGTAGACTTCAATGTAACATTCCCGAGGAGGAAGGAAACTCCTGCGGTTCCAAAGTCCTCACTGGGTTATGATCTCAAAATTTCCACTAATATTAGTGCGCCTACGGCGCACAAGCCGTTCGTTAAAACTAATTTCATCTGAATAAGCAACTTTCAAAAATGAAGTAAACTTACCTGACATACCACAAAGAGACACCGTCACACCAAGTTTCTGATAATCACTGACGAGCTGTCCATAAAAGAATTAGAAATTGTGGATGTAGCTAGACAGGAGTACGCTTACAACAAGACAGTAGACTAAAAAGCGCACAAGCTTCTCACAGTGCATATGAACGTTTTACATTTTCACCTGAGTTTACCCGAACCTTGATGCAATAATTTATCGGATGTATTAAACGAAGATCAAGCTTGTGCTTGCATCAGTAAATGAATGATGACTTTACAAGGTAATATGCACTTGGTTTGTCTGTAAAAAGAAAATGTACCAATTTTCATAAAGGACACTACTCACCAGGTTGCTGAAAACTCCTCGACAGCCCCTGACCGGTTTCGCCCTTCTTGAGACTCATCAAGTAGGCGCGATCCCCGAGAAACACACTAATTTGCAAATCAATTCGGTTTTCACGATAGACTCAACTGAATATCTCGTTTATGATGTGTACCATTGTGCCTTGTCCTTAACGAAGCAATTGAATGAGTGGGCATGTAATCGCTGCACGAACAAGTTTTCTGGTTCCCGAAGGAAGTAACGTTACTCCAAAGCATCGAAAATGAGCAGTATTCATGTACAAACGGAATATGATGGCACCCGTGAACTTCCCGAAAATTTCCCAACCCAACTGACATCACATCATACCACATTATATCTGTTCTTTATTCACTGGGACTTTTACGGCGAATTTTGGCTTAATACATTCACCAGCCACAATCTTGTTCCGGTGGCATGAATTTCAACCGGATGAACGGATGATCAAGTGCACTTTGCTATGGAAGAGAAAGAAGGAAAACGAATATTTGGGCCATTCTGATTTTGGTCCAGTCCTTCAGATAACAGGCGACGCTATCTGATACGAGCCAGTCAGCTTTTGCGATTGATTCGCTAGCTGAAGTTAGTGAATTAGAAAAGTACATGTGAAGCCATCAGCGTAGTCACGGGAGATGACACCATCCAGATAGCATGCTATTCACGAACTTCCTTGAACCACTAACTAGCTAGGCAGCTCTGGACATTTGAGATGCGAGGTGATCGTGGTACGACTACTCCACCGCGCACGCTGGGTGCACCTAAATTATCATGTCTAAACAGGCGCTGGCGTTCGCATTTGAGCAATATGATTCGTTTGCCCGACGCCCCGAACGCAAGACGAGCAGGCGAAGAGATTCACGAACGACCTATGTGATTTGTCTGCCCAGGAGGTTTCAAGCATAAATCGCGCTACTTGACTGTAAATTTCTGACAGAGGGTCAGACGACTGATACAAACAGGACAGTTATTGAATCGTTTTTCGAGGCATGGAAACGAGGCGTGGAAATGTTACCTCTTTCAGACATGGTAAGTCACCTGCGTCCAGTTGAGGCTGACAAGGAGATATCGGAAAGGTGACCTTTTATCAGATGGTCCGATTATCACTGTCAAACCTGTCACATTCAAACACCTGCTCTTAGTAACCACGCCAAGTGGTATTTTGAGCGAAAACATCAGCTGTTGAATCGCGAATGATAACCAAGATCCATGCTACTGAACAGAGCCCCCAGAGCCTTTCCGAAAACAGCATATCCACGATGTTTCGCATGTACAGAGCGACTGCCTAGCTGTTTGTAACATAGGCACATGAAATCCGATTCATCTCATGCGGTGACATCCGTATTGTTAGGGGCTCTTAATCTCTGTTTTCCTCAGCATATCTGGAGACTGTACAGTATTCGGTGTAGATGCCATACGAGCTTGTTCATGAATGTTGCCTAGAATAATTCGGAAATGTACTGCGCGAAGCTAATACAATTTCTGTTGGCAATTTAGGATGATACTATCACCCGAGATGAAAGTTGAAAGCCGGGATATGACCCAGCTGTTATTAAACGGGATTGAAGCAGCTTGCCGATGAAGCCAGGTCCGGTCGACACTATGGGACGATCCTGCCACTAGGTCCTGGGTCAGACATATGAAGCAGTACTAAGCAAGTAAAACACCAAATCCATCGTCTTATGTTTCACCGTAGCAAATTCCATTCGATCGGTTCAATCGATTTTCCTGTGACTAGTTTGAACAGACAATCAGCAGTCAAGAGGCCTGCTTAATTTTATCCCTACCTTCGTCCAGTCGACTGGGTAAGGGCTACATTGGGTGCAAAATTTACACCCTAGTGAGCACCTTATTAAAGGTATGCATATATCATCTCATGCGTATGACAATAGATGTAAGTTGGCAAATTAACTGAATAGAATAATAGTGGTCAATCTAAGTAACTGCTCTCAATTTCTCTCAGAAGGACGATTTACTGACGATCAATTAAGTGTTTCGTCGACCCAAACTCGGTATAGTGATGTATCCGAGCTTTCAGCCCCCTACTCCATGACTGATTATTCTTCGTTAGCCCACTTCGAACCCGAATTCAAGTAGGATTAAAAACCCAAAAAGTTATTTAAACTCTTCTAAATATGCACACGTTAATGTTTTCTAAAGAATCATCATAGTAGACCAAATGGAGACGATTGCGGATTGCAGTTTCAAGAACTTGAGTTCAAACATCTTCAAATGGGCTGCTAGTCTTTGTGCTGAAGACCAATGCATAAGTTATTTCACAAAGAAAGGCATGGGTTGCATGAGCCAAGAGTTGACGAAAAGGCAGAAAGCTTTCTACTACTCACTTGTTGCAATTCTTCCGCACCAACAAAATCAATGAAATTCCAGCAAGAACAGTCCAGAATGAGATGCTGCAGTGTACAGCGGTTTTGCAGAGCGCATAACTTATTCGACAGTTTCTGGTAAGAACCTTGTGAAGGCTCTGGGCTGGGGGGTTCAATAGGTATGCTGAACTTATCCTCTTCTGAAATCAGACAATAAAAAACACTGTGACTTCCCATTGCAAAGGAGCAAAAGTTGGCCATGAATGCTTACCGTGGTATACATCCAGAAAAAAATTGTTGCAGATGCAAAGAGTCTGCAGAGACGCACACAAAACAAACAGCTAGGCGGTGGCATTGAACTCTTGGTAGCACGAAGCCAACCACGACTAATTAACGTGAATGTGAGTAGATATACCTACAAACAGCATTCCGTAAATTTGTGGATCGAATCACTCTACGGTTTAGCACGTATCTCGTCTTGTTACTTTATGGTCAAGAATGGTGCATTTCATGGCGTATCGGGATACATTATTCCTTCATGAAAAAAGAAGGCTTTTGCACTCCAAAGAACGCCCCAAACATACGTCGTCGTCAACATAAGTTGTGCAATTTAAGCCCATTACTTTGAATGTACACAATATCTAGGCCAGATTACGAATAGCTTCAACAATGTTAGATAATCGGGACATTCAGCTAGAGTATTGGCTTGATTGACGGTCAAAAATCCAATCTGTCTCTTTGAACGTTCACGTTCTACCAAGCCCATACAGAGAGTCCATTGATGGTCCAAAGCGTAGTAACCTTATTTCTAAGGCAGGCATTGCAAGAATCGGTAAGGAATCCAGATGTTCTAATTGAACTAAAGCTCGTAGGGTTCTGACAGCTGAAGAAGCCTTATAGAAACCGAACAAGAATGTCAACTCATCCGTTCAGTCAGCTACGTTGCTTCGTACCTGTCAAACTTGTGAGGCCCCTGTTATGTGACAATGACGGATCTGCAGGCAGTAGCGAAACAGCCCATTTGGTCTGCCTATTTCACATCACTTGGATGGTATGCATTCGGACCCTTGGCTAATGTAACCAGGTTTATAATGTGCCAGTCATGTGTACCCCGTTGCAAACGATTGCACCCTTTGGTTCTGAACGTTCCCCACCAACTGTGCAGTTGCGAAAGTAACGATTGGAAGTAGACATAGGTTCCGGCTACCACCGCGCATAGCGAAACGACTACTAATGGGAATATACAAGTTCAGCACAGTGATGCGGTGATGAAGATGCTGATCGCGATGAGTTTCGTGAATTTCCACCGGTTCGTCCTATTAAGCTCTCTGACAAGCCCAAAGACCTCCTGGAGAGTATTGTTGAAGCACGATGTTATCTATATCACATGCGGTGAATCTACCACCGGTCTCAAAAACACGGGCTTTTAATTTCACCTTTGATATGGGTCGTCTTTTTGGAACGCCCACACTACCTCAGCAGGCGCAGCTCCTATGATCAAGTATACCGAATTCATTCTGCAGTCTTTGAAAATCAACTTGGCACAGACCCTGATTTTCGCATTCTGGTACACAATCATACTTCATCAGAGTAGACGACCATTATGGTATCGATTGATAACCTAAAGTGTGGGCATGGAATGATTCACTCTCGCCCACTCTCTGGGACAGCTGATATATTGCTGTCAGTGACGGTGATGATGCGTATGATTATGTGTTCGACGGGTTTTCCGTTTCGAACCCGCGTATCTTTGTCTGTGGGTCACAAATATGTATTGCACTCAAAAGATCAGATAGCACGGCTCTTCAAGAACAAGAACCAGAACTTTGAGGGCGATACGCTGCGCAGTATAGCGAAACTCTACTCATTGGATGGACAGCGTCAGGGAATATTTGTCGCATCACGTGGCTTGATACGGTTGGATTCTGTGTCCTCAAAAAGGTGTTGTAGCGACCCGGTCACCCACACACTTGACTGTTCAACTCAGCCGCTCACTGGATCGCGAGGCTTGTCTTTTTTCTCATACGCACAAACACGTCGCATTAAGCTGACTCATCGGACATCGATTGTCTGCACCGCCTAGTCAGCGTAGCAACCACTCATGTGCCGACGCGCCCACGTATACGCACTGGGACCTACATAAAGAGAAACCAAACCCAGTCAACACACACAGACTCGCGCGCGCGCAGGGAGCAGGACGTCAACCTCTCCACAAGTCCACGGACAACCATGAAGTACGTGTAGCAGTCGAACTGCGGAGAAAAACACGTTCCCGCCGTCCGGACTTCCACCAAGGGACTCTCGCATCCGATAAGTTCCCTTTTTGACTTGCTCCCATCCTCGCACTATATTTATTTTCATACGTGTCGCAACCGTACAAAAACTTGTATTAGTGCACATTCACCTGATTTGTATTATGACCATTACTACCTGTGCACTAATAACTGGTGAGCCCGACGTGACTTTTATTAGTGCATACACCTAATTTGTATGTGGATATCATCACCTGTGCACTAATAATTGGCGAGCCCGACGTTTGTGAACTCAGGTAAATCCTGACAATTTTTCAGTTGGACTCCCATATATTCATATTTCTATTCATGTCTGACACCTACGGCTCAGTCACCAACCCCCCTATTACCTCAGCTAAATATCAATGCCGCGTCTGTCCATCTTCCATCATTCTGGAACTACTTCATGCGTCCACTCACTCCATCAGCAATACGCTGGCAAGTTTTTTCTCATGGTCTACACTACATTTCAACACCGATGGACATTTATCTCTGAAACTTTTTATTCAACGTTTCTTGTGGCGAATATGAACAAAGACATACGTTCATGGACAAGACTTTGTCTATAATATCAACGACCAAAGACACTTCGCCATACTCCCTCACACATCGGTACATTTCCCACTTCGTACTACCGATTCGACCATGCTCACTCGATGCTGTTGGATGTCTCCCGTACCTATTTTTCTCTTTCGCTGGAAGAGGAGTAGTTGTAGCGTATGAGAAAAAAGACAAGCCTCGCGATCCAGTGAGCGGCTGAGTTGAACAGTCAAGTGTGTGGGTGACCGGGTCGCTACAGTTTCACTAGATCGCCTAACTCACATAAAGTGGTTCAATCCTGACCAGTAATGAATTACCGTTAGACGGGTCTGGATCATCACTTAGGAATTGGAATCAGTTCTCCTACCAACAGTGAACCGGAAAAAGCGTCGTCATCGTTGTTCTATTTTTACTGACTCAGTCCACAACCCTGAGTCTGAGAAAACGCGCATGAAAGTTTGCCGATGTTCAGATGATGGTACTAAACGGTATGCTAATGAATGTGGCATGAACCCAGCGAAGGACTTATCCGTTCAAGCGAGCATTCTGTGGATAAATGTTTCCGAGTAGACGGGGAAATCGCTCTGTCAAATAGCTGAATGAGGAAGGATAGAAGGGATAGTTCCAGGAAGTGTGTGTACAAGAAGTGTTCGGCCTGACTAGTTTTGTAGGAGATTTACTAACCACAAAGTTGTGTTGTATTTATAGTGAAAACAGGAAGTGACCGGATTGCAAAGAGAGTTCAAATATGGCTGAGTGATGGGTTGAGGTACTTGCTCTACTGCCGTACACGACAAGCAACAACGTTGACTCGAGCATGGGGTTTAGCGAGGGTATGATGCCCCATGCTGATAAGCGATCGTAAACTTTACTCTGTCATAGCATATTGTCCCCATCTCTGTACTTTTAACATTAAAAGGAAAACAGCGCCATGCACCTGGCTACAATCTCATGGGTTCAGGTCAGTATTTGAAATGACTTTTGAACACACATGATATAATCGACCGTATTTTTGCTCTCATTTTGCCCGAGGACTCGACAAAATGTTCACCTTTACCGGATAAGCTTATACTACACCAAAACGACAAGAAAAAATTACCTGAATCTATAGCCAGTAGTTACGGAAGGGACAATATCCAATGGCACAGCAATGGTATTAGCAAGTAAACTAGAGTGCTTCTGGCACAAAAAACGGACTGACTAACACTAGTGAATTTGAGGACAACATCCCTGAAGTTTACGAATTACTCGGTAAACGGACTAAAAGCCAGCTGGTCAAGAAGAGGCAGGAAAACCTCTAAATATGTGAGTCCATAGCATTTTAGACGGGTAAAAGTTACTATTATAAGTTAATCGTTGTTTTGTCATATTCTTTCACCGCATAATGACAAAATGTTTTGCAAAAGCGCAAACAAATGGCTGCGATGCCTGTCAGAGTTGTATTAAGATCACAAATAGGAAGCAAGGCGTTTATTTCAAATCTACGGCTTCAACAAGGCTCGGCTGAAAAGTAGGGACTGGTTTTGAAATCACCAACTAATGACGGTGTTTTTCAAAGTTGCCGGAGAAATCTAACTAATGAAAACTTTGAAGAAGCATACACTGGTCGAACACGTAGTCTGCTGTGATAGAAATGACAAAATTCATAATTTTTTGAGTAGAGCGGTTCTTGAATAGTTCCTTCATCCCAGGCATCTTCAGTCGGTAACTTTTGAACTTCAAGATACAGTATTCATGTCTAGTGGTTTATCATGTCCAGAATTGAATGCATCTTGTAAACATGGCTTTTTGTGCGTCCGTAAATGTCCATTATTCTGCCATATTGCTTGAGTTACTAGAATGATGTTTTTTTTCAAAATTCTGATTCATAAGTGGAACCGAATGTTTTTGGCAGGCTTTTATTACAGTCAAAGCATGTGCCAAAATCTTGTGGATAGCTCCGTTTGGGGCTGATAAGAAGTGCCTGTCACAAAACCTACCTGTTTCGATCCGCTCTACTCCTATGAGACTAGTAATCAGAGCGATCCTGGTGTTACACTTATAGAATTAAGAGTCGAATTATTGGTAACTCAGGACTCCATCATGTTTCTGGATTATCTCGAAAATTGTTGAGTTTCCTGGGAGACGCTATCCTATCATTCACCAATAATTTTGTGAAAGTATGTGGGAATGTGTTGTTTGCTTAGTTATATTGCAGTAATGAGAACCCATAAGTGGAGATAAGATATGTCTGCAGTCAGCTACCAGACGTTTTCTTTTTTTCAAAGTCTGATCAAAGAGGTCATTTTGGGAATCAATCGGTGGATTGTGAACATACTAGGAGTTTCGGTGTGTTTATCAAGAATTCATTGACTACAAACATGCGTTTTGTTGATGTGAAATAGCCTAAAATGTTTGGAACTATTTAGTTATTGAAGATGCAGTGATCGTGAAGGTCACGAAGGCTCCACATGTCAAAGCGAAATCACTACCGACAAAGGTACGCTAATGCGCAATGTTTTAGGGGGTAATGAAGTTCATACTGTCTATCTCCATAATATTCTTTGTGAAGAGAGGGATAGATAAGTTACAATTACTGCCTTATCACTCAGAAGACACCTCATGATGATTTGTTGCCTAAAGTGTGTCCACGAGTTTCCGGAGCCACGATATATTGAATCATTTTTCAGCGCGTAGTATAGTGTAAAATTTGATGACACGCATGAACTGTTTATCGTAATTCAAAACCTGTTAGTTTTTTTCAAACAAACGAGATGCACCCAAAAATTTAACGTGTTCTTACCTAATTTTCTCGGTTCAGTGGATGCGATACGGTCTATCACTGCTGGAGATAATTTCGTTTGTTCAGCTCCGTCATGTTTAGCCAACCTATCGAGTTTTGCGCGAACTTTCTGCAGCTTGGCGAATATTTTTGCAGGATCCATTCCAGACTTCTGAAAAACCGACTGGCGAAAATTCTCTGCTGAGGCGTAATAAATACTGCCTTCGTAACGTACAACCTTGATGGTGTCCGATTCTTTTGCCTGTTATTTCGGTTGTATGCGAAAACATTATTGGTTATCTGGTTATATGCATTCATTGTCAATAAATAAAACCGATGATCACTCAAAAATACCATAAAACTGGTTAGATTAAAACACTTGATCCGGGAGTTCAGAATGAAAGTAGTTAGTTATTTCCAGTTTCACATCAAACAAAAGACTGACAGCAATCTGTTTTCAAATTGTAACTTTCTCAGTTCGGTTAATTGATGACACAAAGGGGACTTTTGATTATAGGGGAACACTTGTTTCTGTGGGTGCACTGCTGGAACTCTGAAACAGATGGGGTGTAAAACGCCACTATCAGTTAGAAGAGTATGAACCCAAATTTTGTTTTTTTTGTTTTTTTTTTCAAACAAGAAAAATACTTCGTTTACGCCTAAGCATTGTCACTTTGACCAAGTGAAAAGTAGAAATTCTGGCAGAAAAAACCTTGCGTACCTGTGCAGACAACTTGATGTATGGCATGAATGATTATGATATGGTTTTTTAGACGAGTAAGCTAGATAACTGTCGTTGACCAATTTGGCATTGTTGAGGCATCTCTCGTTTAATATGGTG